AAAGATATTGCGTTACCATGGACATTTTATGAAACTTCAAATGTTAATGAAATAAAAAAAATAATAAATATTTTAAAAAAGGGGGAAAAAATTTGCAAAGTGCTTTTCCTGAAAACGTACGTTTTTAAATTTTCACTCATGTATAAAATATATTTTGGTCATGTTTTATATAACCCATACACATCCATGGTGATTTCATGGTATTTCAGGTTTGTAACACTTACTTATGAATTAAAACCTTAAAAATAAAAATAAAATTACCAAGAAGACAAATTTGTAACTAGGCATTAACAATGTAAAAATAGTTAATCAGTAGTTAAAAATAACAACCGAGCTGAGTTGTCATATAATTAAGAATATGCATTTTACTGAAATGGATTGGAAAACTAACTAAACTACTTTTTGAAAAAAAATTCAATTCTCTTAGAAAAAGTAGACAAATTTGTTATACAATCATAACTTTACTAGAAGGCATGTGTTAAAAAATACGAAGACGATTAAATTAAGACAAATTGTATAATAATAGGTTTAACAAGCAACATATTAAAACAGTTTCCATATTAAGTACTCAATCTCATTTCTTCACATTTATTATCAATCAGCCTTTAATACGATATAAAAATATTTTGAGTGTTTAACCATGATATGACTGGATATTAAAATAGGCCTACAATATTTCCTTAAAGCTCGACTTAGATTGTCCTTATTCAGTTTCTTGTTGGATTAGTCAAGTTTTAGATAGTTGGAAATGCTAAGTAAGACTCACACCCTGGTCAAATTGGAATAAGTTGTTTGATTATCTGGCCATTGGAAATTACATCAAATTTGAGCAATCTTTATGCAAATAACATCCAAATAATGTCCGCCTGTTTGATTTTTCCTTTATGCATTACTAGCGCTATATTATATAACAGCCTATTATATTGTTCAGTATATATACCTATGGGCTAGTTTCAATGATACAGTGGAGTCCCGATAATCCGAACTTCGGTAATCCGAAAGTCCGCTTAATCCGAAACCAAAAAATAAATTTTTGAATTTTTTTTTGATTTTTTTTGGATTTTTTAAAAAAAATTTTGAAAATTTTTTGAATTTTTTTTGAAAACTTTTGAAATTTTTTTGAAAACTTTTGAAATTTTTTTGAAATTATTTAGGAATTTTTTTTAATTTTTTTTTATTAAACTTTTAACACAGTTAGCTGTACCTCGTCAAAGTATTCTGTAGCAGCCGGGCAAGATAGACTTTTTTGTTGAGTATTTAGTAAATATTTCATCATTTTTGTTATTAACATTTTTCATTTTCGTCCAGGGTTCCAATCCCCCCAAATCACAAATGGATTTTATGAAGTGATAATGCTGCAGCCACTAGGTCAAGGCCACACTAAAAAAACAGGCCGTAATGCTCGTCAAGCATGACGTCACGATAGAAGACGGCAATGACGTAGTTTTGCCGTTTGTGATCAGCTGCTTGTTTTAATCTTTCATTGGAAAATAAATAAATAAGTACTTATACGTCATAGCCGTCTTCTATCGTGACGTCATGCTTGACAAGCATTACGGCCTGTTTTTTTAGTGTGGCCTTGACTAGGTCTAAGTAATCTAAAAAACAATCCCAAAAAATTTCAAAAAATAAAAAAAAATTTCAAAAGTTTTAAAAAAGTAAAAAATTGTTTTTCAAAAATTTCAAAAAAGAAAAAAAAAACAAAAAACCGTTTAATCCGAAATATTTGGTAATCCGAAATGGGCCCGGTCCCAACCATTTCGGACTAACGGGACTCTACTGTACCATGATAAACTTATGGGAATTATGAAATTGTACTCTAACTGTGTATTATGTTTAATATCTCTATTCTATGGTGATGCTGTTTATTACAGAAAATATGTAATTTCATAACTTCAACAATAATTGGTAACACTAGCTAGTTTGTGGCTGTTTTAAAGAAGTTCTAGTCAATTTAGTAGTAAAATATGACCATCCTTGAAGTAATAAGTAAAAAACATAGTGGCTATTCGCTTAAAAAGTTATGTAAAGCAAATATTGGTTGAAATATAGTATTTACTTACATGCTGTAATCTTGTAAACCATGTTGATATTTGTAACACAACTTATAGGGAAGTTGACTCACTGAATTGAATTACGTATTTAAAGTTTAATCTTTGTTGATAATCATTTGGGTTTTCATGTCAAAGACAGCATCACAGACCATCAACAACTGTAATCTCAGTGCATTGGACCAACAATAACAACTCTGTCAAGAATTACTTCAAATTAGTTCAAGTTTAAATGTTTAATGTATGTCAAGGTTATTTAATATTTTTTGTTTACACATTTTTTTATTTATTTTTTTAAAGAGGTTGGTGGCCTCTTTTAACCTTGCATTTGCCCGTCTACATAGACTAAGCGCCCGTGCGTGGATCGTTAACAGCAAGGCAAGGAGTGAGCCGGTACAGTACAACGGTGAACTGTAGGCCTACTGATAAAATGTTATCGGCAGTGACCAGGATCCGAACCCACGACATCGCTGCCTTGGGCCCGAAGTCCGCGACGCTACCGACTGAGCCGATTTACTAAAAATTGTTTAATTCTCAACCAGATTATTGTTTCTATTTTGGCTCACCTTTTCATGTTTTCTTTTAAATTTGAAAATAAACAACTGTGTCTGAAGCCGTTGAATGTAACCTTGTATAACATCGATATATATTTTTTATAATATTAGTAGGATATATTTCCAATGACCAAATGAAAGGAGGAAGTTTAATCTAGTATATTAATTAGATTTGGTACGTCATATATATATATTATTAATAAAATATTTAATATGTAAACACGTTATGTACAAGTTAAGTAACTTTCATATAAGTACATTACAGGAAATAGTTATGTACACATCTTATACATTACCTAGTTGGATTTCACAATTACTTTATCTAATAATGATATTACTGATACAGAATTTATCTTAAGAGGATGTATAAAGTTTCTTGATAGTAATAACTAAAATATAACTTTATTTTTTAGAACTACTTAATTTCATAAACTACCCTTATAGAATGATGCATAGTTCAACAAATTAAAGCTGCATCTCATTGTCAGTTTTTAGCAGTCCTTAAAGGAGTGCTGAAAGTTCAACTAGTTTTAATAACTTTATATTATTTAACATTTTTGAATAAAGTATAAGGTTTTTCTCGACACTAAATGAAGGCACTAAATTTACAATAACAACCGTAATGTTATGTTAAACTAGATTTTGTGCAACATTCACAACCAATGGAATACAACTATGGTGAGAATAAATTTTTCAAATAATTACTAGGACTTATTTACAATAGGTACACAAGCTTAAAAGACATTTGAAAAATACTCTTTGTAATTATTATTTTAAAAACAGATGCAACATTTGAATTAACAACTTACTGTTCCATTAATTTTTCTTCTGACAAACGAATAAACTTCTCTTGAAAACCTTCTTCTTAAACGTTTTATGAAGCATGTTTTAGATACAACGGGTATAAATACTTAAAAATTAGCCTTTCATTGTTGTCTTATTATTATTTAAATTGTATTTTCAATATTTAATGTTAGCATTGACTGAGGCATTGTGGTTTATCTAATTTTTATGATAATCAGATCAGTTTTTTTGTCTACTTAGTAATGCCATATAATTATTTGCAGCTCTTTCTTGTAAACTGGACGGAGAAGTCTAAATTAGGAGATTGCTGCTAACTCTATAGTTTATCTGCAGCCTACCATCTGCTGTAATTCTTAAAAAAAAATCAAAATCATCCCAGAAAAACAAGATTTTTTTAACAAAGCAGGGTGTCCAGCTCCAGGGATAGCAGCGATGTACAAATAATTTCTTACAATCGCAGCGACTTGCAAGATCATGGGCAACATTGTGATTTTGTGATGAGATCAAGATAATTTTTCCTGACAAAAGGAAGCCAAACGACAACAAACAGTGCTTAGTGGCAGATTTTATTGGCATTTATTCCAAATTTCAAACCTTTCTTCTATGCAAAATTGACCAGCAGTTCATGGATTCCTTCTCGGTCATGAAAATTCACATAATATTACCAGTATTCAGGTAGGCTGTACACCCTGCAAAGACCCTTAAAACGTTTTTTACAAGGTGTATTATAAAAAAAAAATACTATTTAGCTTCTTAGAAAAAATTATCAAAAACCCTGTCAAAATGGTCCCAAGTAATTACTTTTGCAATATAACTTTCTTTTAAGGGAAATCAGACAAAAAAAAGAGCAAACAATACCTAAAAGTTTTCAACTTTAAATGCTATCACATTAAATAATTTTGTGCCCTATTCAGACTTATAAACACACTGCCTAATCTAGATTACCACAAATTATTTTGCAGTACTATAATTTGTATGTAGCATTTTCATATTGTCTAGTCGAGCTATGAAATTAACTTTTTTGGTTACTTTAGCTGCACAACGAAACGTTTTCCTGAGGATTTAAATATCCATCATAAACTTAAGTTGAAATATTTAGCCTACATAAAGCCTTAAAATAAGATTGGGAATTCTTTTTTAGGATATAAAAATGGTTATTTTAAGTTGAGTAATCACTTAATTTAAGTACAAGGCATGTAAAACTCAGCAAAAAGTTGTTGACAAGTCAGCTTTATGAGTTTCAGAATTCATTGTGAGATATAACTGGTGTATACAAATTTTTATGATAAAAATTGTCATTTAAGCTATTTAAAAAATAACCTCTCAAAGTTGTTCCAAACTGAGATAGATTTTAAAAAGCTTCAATATTACATCCAGCTTGGTGAAGAAACCATTTTAGTTGAAAGAGTTTTTCCTGACTAAAGTCTAAATTTTCTAAACGTGCAATGCTTAAGCTAATTGCATTTTGTCATTGTACAAGTTAAAAAACAGCATAATGCCATACAAACAGTTGTACAAAACATACATATACATATCTTATTCAAACTAAAAGTTCCATTGTCACTCACAAAAGGAAAAAGATTCAGGGCAAAGAAGGTAATAAGCTCAAAAATTTACCAAATCAAAGTTTCATTTGTGTGATTTGTGAGTGATATTAAATATATCTACAACCGTAATTGTAGGAATTTCATAAAAATATGGGAAATTTCAACTCAGTGTGTGCAAAGATCTAAAAGAACTTCTTTTAGTTAAATAAAAGAGTAATTTAAAATTGTAGTAGAATCAGAATGTCAAGAGGGTTTGCTAAATCTACTTAGGTCAGAGTGACACCTTGCTTGCAGACGACGCAACACCATCTAGCACAGCTGATGGCACCCTGGCACCTCCTCAGCTGATTGGTTTGTCTAGTGTACGTCACTTGGTCAGTGAGACACCTGGTTTCGCAGGTCAGAGAGTGCCTGTGTGTTGCGGTGGACAAGCAGCTCCAGAGCTCGCAGACGACGCAACACCACCTCGCAAAGCTGATGACACCCTGGCGCCTCCTCAGCTGATTGACTCATCCACTGATCAAGTTCTTTGCTCAACTCTGCTTGATGTTTCAAAAGTTCAGTCATCTAAAAATTTGAAATTTCTAAATTAGCATAATACATTAATACAGATTATATAATCAACTATACATATAGACAGCAGGTAAGTTTGGTTTCATAAGATAAAAATTAAATAATTCCCATGATTGCTTAGATTATTTCATTATTGCAGTCGACAAAGTAAATTGCATTACAAACGTCAATAAACGTGTCTTGATAAATGTGGAAGATGTTTGCGATTACACCATAACTGGGGAAGGCATTCACAATTAATCTTTCTGTGACTGTGGAAGACCATCACGATTCCGCCGTGACCATGGAAGATGTTCACAATTTTACTGTGATATGAGGGAGATCATGTAAAATATTTTGTATTGAACGATAGTAATATTACATTTTTTTTTCAAAGCAATCAATGCTGCAATTTTAGCCTAACCTGGTTTCCGCCCAAAACAAAAGGTTGTATATTTTTTCTATACCACGATGCACCAACATGACTCGGTTAAAAAAATCTATGCTGATCCACTGAGAATTCTTTCATTCCATTGCCTAAATCCTGGTAAAAAAGTACATTTATTTCTTTGTATTTAGAAAAATTAAAATATACACTTCTTAAGGAGGCATAGTAGCGCCTATAGCTAAATAAAAGTTAAGTAAAATCCATTACTGCCGAAAAATGATGTTTTAATTTGAATTCAAAGAATGTAAACACACTATGATGCAGCACAAACCTGCTTGACTAGAGTGTTGAGCATGTCGGGATCAGAGGCTGTGTCCAGCAAGTCAGACAATCTGGAGACCTCTACGCTGAGGCAACACTTCAGCTCGTAGTGAGATGTGTCTTGAGCCAGGTGAGACTGATAACTAGACAGTGCCAGCCTCACAACCCTACACTGCAGCTCACATCTCTGAAATCATTTGATGACAATCAGTCAGCCAATAACAACACTGAAAGCACCAATGTGAAGGTGGCACCGCAAGGTGGGAAGGGTGAATGTTTGTTTGGTGATTTACCATCTCAAAACATTGGTTTCAGTTGATGTCCATTCTTTGACAAGTGTGAAGTCATTTTTACAGAGGTAGCAACCTCAACATGTGATACTCAACTCCCGATTAACCGGGATAAAGTAGTGTTGAGGCTTCCTGGATACGTAAAATCGTGGTTAATCCGCAAAATACTATTGAATAGGAAAGTGTATTAAATTACAATACAGTATTAAGTTATGGTAATTAACATGTTTATATTGAATTAAAACATTACTGATTACTGAATGAGTTATTTGACAGGAATTAAAATGAATAACACACGTATTTGAACACAATGACACTCGCACAAAGAAGATCTAGTCTCCAAGATCAAGATCAAATAAAACATTTACAAGACATAAACTACCGCAAATTAATTTCTTTGAAAATAATCTGTAGCAGTTTTCTCTTTAGAAAAAAAACAATTTTTTTATCTCTACTTTCATGTTTTGTGATACAATTTCGTCTGCAATTGGAGAATTGTATAGGTAAATGGGGTAAGAGGGGAGGGTCTAATTTAGATCTGAACAACTTTGTACACATGTTGCCAGAGCAAGAAAAGCTGGCAAATCATGTATGAAAGCAGAGGAATGCTGGTTAAGTCCAATGGCGATGGTAAAGTTTCTGTTAGTAGGACGATTTTTCAAAATTCTGTTAAATCAGTAATATTGGTGAGTGTTCATCAAGTAAAACTCAAACATTACCAAACAGCTTAATCTGCATCATAATGTTGTGTATTTCTGAGTTCTCATCAAGGACTCAATCCACTCTCTCTCTCAATTGAAGGATGTACTATTTAGTTTTTTATACTGGTTTTGGTGACTATATCCAAATGACAAATAGTAAACATTAAAATTTTTACTAACTTTAAATTTAGCCTTATAATGTGATAATTGATCTTATTTTAGGCTACTCTTTCAATCAATAATGCACTTTTTCTAAGGTAGGCTAGCTGCCATCTCCATTTTTCTAGTTTTATGCATAAAATTACTTTTTACCAATCAAATTCAAATCTTCTTTATTTGTTTCATGTACAGCAATACAATAAATAGCGTCATTATAACATTTATGAATGACAAAATAGTTCATACCTCATTGATGGTCAAGTTCAGAAAGTGTTCGCAACTGCCGATTTCAACTGGTACTTTAGCCTCCTGTGAAATTGTAACAAAAAATAATGTAAAACTTGATGCATGAATTTGGACTAAATGACTACTAAATAACTAATTTTTAATCCTTTCATCACAAGCATTGGCAGAAATGAACAAGTTGATATCCTACAACAGGTAATGATTTCCATACATAAAACATAAAATGTATTTTTTTATGAACAAGAAAGTATAAGGGAGTAAGTGCATAAGGAAATTTAAAATTATTGTTATTCAGGAGAAAGAAAATGAAAATTACTAACTTATATTACAAGTGAGATTTGATTTTGTTTCCGATAAGAAGAGCAGGCTTGCCTGTACAGTGGGTGAGTCTTCTCAATAGCAAAGAAGAGGGTTAAGAGCAAAGAGACAAGAGGGCAAAGAGTGTAGGTTAACACTTTAGATTGTAGGTACACTGTAGAGGAAAGCCTGCTCTAAATATAAATAAAATCAAAACTTTCTGGCATAGATTCTTTGTCCAAGAAAAGAATATTACAAGAGTTTTTTTTTCTATACACAATTAAAAGAAATGTGTGAAAATCAGTGTCTAATTGATAAAAAACAACAAAAGCAAAATAAATTGTAATATGACCTGTCATTTTCTAATAAGTAAGATGTTTCTGTTACTTTATTTATTCATTTTAACGGTCAACACATATAACATAAAACAGAACATAAAAGTAGTTAAATAAGGAACAGTTTTGAAAGCGTTTAACAGCCAACTTTAGTCAAATGTACGATTAACAGAAGAAAAAATACAACAACACAATATCAAATATAACAATATAAATAGGAAAGAAATATAACACAATATAATACATAAATAGGACTATAGACACATCTTACCAATTACAGTTTGTTAACCCATTGGCATACCAAAAATGCACTGCCTACACACAAGAATCCTATATCCCATGCTATAGAAGAATCCAATAGGCAAGCATGTTTCTTAAAAACCTTTTTCCTCAGCTCGTGTGCATCACAGGGAAAATATACGCATACTGTTAAAAAGATATTTACCTGTAGATGTGAAGAATCTCTTTATAAATTAAAGTAGGCTAAAAAATGAGCTCAAAAAATGAATTTAATATAAAAAAATTACATGGCCTTATGTGTTGCCATGCTGATGAGGAAATAACAATGAAATATTAACGTAAAAATAAAATCAAAACAGATGGAAGAAATTCCAATCAGATGTTTAGAGTTTTCAACCATGGGGCGGCCTCTAGTTTCAATTGATTGACTCTTTTAGTGACATACAAATACAACTATAACTTTCTTATTCATTATGTTGGATTATGTTTTTTAAAATGACTATCTCCCTCTTCAGAAAGATTGGGAGACTTTTGCAAATAATCTATATATCGGTCTATTTCCACTCAATCATAAACAAGACAGTCGCGACATTTTGACACAAAAAATAACCTCACAACTCTCACTTGTTGTTTACTAATATTTTTGTTTTCCAAAACAGGTTAGTCAACCAAGTAATTTAAAAATACAGACAATATACAGTGTCACAATTACAGATAGATAGAAAAGAATTATTGATCCGACAAGTGCTGTGATCCCTTGGAATAATGTAGAGCTAGTGGCAATGTCCCTGGATGGAACAGTTCCGTCTAGGAATGCCAGAACACATTAGCGGCAGGACAGAAATATGTCAGTGGGTTAACTACAGTAGTATTTAGTGCAGCGGATTCAGCCTATTCTTATAATATTTAATATTTATTTATAAAAGGTAAACCCTCCATCGTATTAAAAAAAACTTTAAGCAATCTATTAGTGATTAAAAACAATACATCTTAAGTAATATCAAAATACTTACCACAAGTTGTTTTGCAAGTGATCTGAGATCTTCGAAGCTGTGTACAAGTTTTTCCTAAACAGAAATTACTACCTGAGTAAAAACCTTATATTTATCATTGAGCTTTTCATTGGTAACCCTTGTTACAGAATCAGTAGTTATAAAAAGTAAAGCCAAATGTGAACAAGGCATCAACATTTTCCGTTAAAAAGTACGAATTCCCCAAAGTCACGGTGTCATCTTGAACATCTACCGCGATCCCGACACAATTGTGAACATGTCCCACAATCGCGGCGCGATCGTCAACTCATTGCGCGGTTACAGCGCCAGCGCAAACACTGTTTCTATCATTTTCTGTGTTATCCGACCTTGCCGTGGCCGTTTTAGGTAGGATAATCGAGCCTCTACTGATAATTAAATTAAATGTCTACAGTTGTACATAAAACCACATTCTGTCACAACCCTGTTTCTTCCTTGAAGAAGATTCTTCAGGAAAACATTCTTATTAACCGGACATTGATACTACTACAGCAAAGCATAAACCAAACTCAATGGTTAACAGGTTAGGTTAGTCAGGGTAAAATAGATAAACTAATTCAACTCAACCCAATAACATTTAGATAAAGATATCAGTTGATCAAAACATTAGACTACTCAAACTGCTACCTGTCTGACCTCAATTTAATTACAGGATATTTATTTTAAGTCTAGAAATGTAACAATGGAAATCTAGGAAATCAGGCTACAGATATATAGTTAGAATACTACATTAACTAAAGTAGCTTAACCAACCAACATTCTATACAAACGTATAGCCTACTCTGTATGAGCAATAATAGGTACAAAAGAAAGCACCTTAACCTTAGAGAGATGTACCTTATCTGATTGAGATCTAATGGCGGAGTTGAACTGAAGACTGCTTTCCGTGATGACTTCCAGAGGCTCCATGATTTTCTCTAATGATTCTATTACCTTGTCTAGACTCTCAATGACTCGAACTGGAGCTGAGGTTGATGGGTGAGATTCTTCCTCATCTTGCGATTCTGTTTCCCTGTTAACTACAGGTGGTTTTTCTTGCTCTTTCAATTGTGCTTGTTCTAACTCACTCGCGAGGCTAGGAAACGGACTAGTACAAGACGTTGATGTGTCAAAAGATTGAAGACTAGTATAAACCTTAGGCCGTTCCAGGATACTTGATGAGTTAGACGCGACAGAAGCTTTTTCTAAAACGTTTGAATCTGTCACACTGACACTTTTTTCACTAAGTTTATCACTTATACTAGGATTACCCGTCGGTAAATTGGTATTAGAATAAAAATCTGATCCTAACCTAATAGAATTTTCTTCATCGTTACAAGCTTCACTTAATAGTTCAACTTCACTAATATGTGCTATGCTACTGGAATTTGGTTGATCATTTTTTGAGTCTAAACTACTATCAATTTCTCTAAACTCGCTGGCTAAAGTTTCATCCACTGATATGGATGGTAAAAAAGATTCATTCAACACAGTTTCCTGAGATTCACTAGGTGCATTTGCAGTTTCAGTTGATCCGGAGGAATCTGGTGATGGAAAAACCTCGAGGGATGAGGGGGTCTCTGGAAGAGGTTGTTCGACGGTGACAGCTCCTGTTCTCGTGCCGTAGTCAGGACTGTCAAACTCATCAACTCCACGTGACGATCGACCGCTTGACGGCAATCCAACACCACTGTCACCCAAAGAGCGGGCTTCCATTGAAGAGCTTGACAACTTTGATTCCTGAAGGAAGAAAGTACATTTTTTGTAATGTTTCTGGTGTAACCATTACTATTGGTTTAATTTTGATGTTTATTTGTTTTCACGTCCAGTGCCTTTGGATGACTGAAATCTGTCATCACTTGCTGATTGGTTCCTGGAATCTGGAACCCAACTTCAGCTGTCTCTAGTAGACATTTCTGAATTTCGATACGACTAATCAAAGTCATTTTAAACTTAATTGAGGTATAATTAATTAATCAATGTATATAGTCTCTGTGAAATCTTGAAAAGTAGGGCACTCTTGACATTGTGGATTGCTAAATTCTTCCACTGTCACACAGAGTTTGTAAAAGCGAGTCGAATGCTCGTACTGCCCAGTGAATGCTGGAATCTCGCAATGAACAAGTTCCACGCAAAACACACTTACTGTTGTCTGGTAGTGGTCTTCGGACCTATCTACCACTGAAGAGACTAAACAAAGTCGAAACAACAGAGCACACTTCTATCCTTAAAGGCGGATAGTCGTATTTGACTTAGCGCAGGCTCAATCAAATTTTGAATCCTCAAACCACACACTACACATGGATCGGTCACACCCGAGACGGTATGTGTGACCGATCCATGTGTAGTGTGTGGTTTGAGGATTCAAAATTTGATTGAGCCTGCGCTAAGTCAAATACGACTATCCGCCTTTAAGGATAGAAGTGTGCTCTGTTGTTTCGACTTTGTTTAGTCTCTTCAGTGGTAGATAGGTCCGAAGACCACTACCAGACAACAGTAAGTGTGTTTTGCGTGGAACTTGTTCATTGCGAGATTCCAGCATTCACTGGGCAGTACGAGCGTTCGACTCGCTTTTACAAACTCTGTGTGACAGTGGAAGAATTTAGCAATCCACAATGTCAAGAGTGCCCTACTTTTCAAGATTTCACAGAGACTATATACATTGATTAATTAATTATACCTCAATTAAGTTTAAAATGACTTTGATTAGTCGTATCGAAATTCAGAAATGTCTACTAGAGACAGCTGAAGTTGGGTTCCAGATTCCAGGAACCAATCAGCAAGTGATGACAGATTTCAGTCATCCAAAGGCACTGGACGTGAAAACAAATAAACATCAAAATTGATGAGTCCGTCCACAATAATTTAAGAACAATGAGTAATACTATTGGTTTGTGTAAAAATGCTAAGTATAAATTAGATAAAATTCAAATGGCAACTAATTACACATAATGTACTACTAGAGGATAAAAAGAGGAATTTCTACTGACAACAGACTAAATCCATTTTGTTTTACTTCTTTGACCAATGAATCATTGGCTTATCCACAAAACCAGTTTTAAACATCCTGCAATTTTCTTTCACCTTTTCAATTTAAAGGAAGTAGTTCCGTTGCTGTTGGATTCAAGAAGGGTGTCTCCCAACCAACATGTGAGATACTCAAACATGTTTGTTCATTTTCTTTATTTACTGACTTGCTATTTACAATTTATTTTACTATTAAACCCAACCGCTTTAAAATCAAATGTCTTGTATTCCTAAAAAACATTGTTAATGAATCAATTAAACTGCTACCTAGTAGGTTTATGATCAATGGTTGCTGTCATAAATAAACGGTATCAGCATTCTGACACATACTTTCTCCCATAAGTTTGTCAAAAACCTTTATCATGTGTAAGTTGTGAGAGTAAATAACTGTATACGCAAATGAGATTTGTACAATTTTGTTCAGAATTTAAAGGATTATAACATGCTAAATTTTTATAAAAATCGTTCGGGCCATTTTTGGGAAAATCCGATTTTTCTGTTATTTTAAGGGGGTTTTATGGTAAAATGACATAATTTACAATAACTTTTGAACCGTAATATTTACCGAAATGGGATTTGTACCATTTTGTTCAGAATATAAAGGACTATAACATACTAAATTTTTATCAAAATCGTTTTGGGCCATTTTTGGGAAAATCATATTTTTTCGTTATTTTATGGGGTTTTATGGAAAAATCCCCATTAAAAATAAAAATTTCCAAAAAATAAAAGAAAACTATTAAAACTGTAAGAAGTATAACATGCTATGTTAAATCAAAACCGGATGTTTTTCTAAAATCCTATTTTTTGTTATTTTATGGGGTTTTTATGGGAAAATAACATATTTGACCATAACTTTTGAACCGTAATTTTTACAGATATGGGATTTGTAACATTTTATTCAGAATTTAAAGGGCTACAACATACTAAATTTTTATAAAAATCGTTCGGGCCATTTTCGAGAAAATCCGTTTTTTCCGGTTTTTTATGGGTTTTTATGGGAAAATTCCCATTAAAAATCCAAATTTCAAAAAAATGAAAAAAACGCCTGGAGATACCATGGATTAGAACCTACATACCAAATTTCATCGAAATCGGACCACAGGTGTGGTCTCTAGCCCTGTACACATCCAGACACACAGACACACACACACACACACACGCACACACCTACGGGGTTTTACCGAATACTCGCAAACACCTAATTGTGGCATCTTTCAACCTGCGGCCACCAGTGGATGAAGGAAGGTGGTAGAAACATGTCTGCATCGATATTTTTAATGAACACTCCATTTTAACATCAAACATTCCAGTTTTTAAATTGTGGCACCATGCCACAAATCGGTATATATCAACAGTGTGTGGACAGGATGCCACTAATGCGTTGTAGTGCTTGAGCGGTGTGTGCGCCCCCCTACTTCTCGCGTGCGCTGTTGCCAGTTCTCCGTTCTAGTTCCTTCATTCCGTTCTCTATTCATGTGGCTATGCCCTAGCCGCTGTAGCTCATTTCCCGCGCTCATGACGTCGTCTTTTATTAGTGTAAGGATTTTATATGAAGTTTTTTTCAAAGCTCCAATAATTTTTACAATTATTGGATTTAAAGTCAATGGACCAAATGAAATGTCGTGAGGATTACATAAAACTACATGCTATTTTGTTGATATTTTATCGTCACATTGTATGTATGGTTTACGAACTGAGATACTTGGAATAAAGGCCTTAATGTGCTGGGTAAATTATCAGTTTCATGGGAATCTATATATTAATTACGTAAGCCGATTCTTTGCGTCAAAATTGTGGGCGACTGGGAAGTCGTAGAACAACGTGAGAGGGCTCAAATTAAAGGTCTTTATCCCGTGACGGCGGGAAAAATAGTGAAATTCCCAAAATCTTAACACAAAATTAGATATAACGTACAATGTTCTCCATAAGAATAGCATTAGAAGGCATTTACTGCTGATTTTTGTTTACTTCAATCCAGCTGATCGTGATTTTATCATTAGCAAGTAAGCTTACATTTGGATTACTCATTTGCCAGTCAATTCTGCAATGTAATGTATACTATATAAAACCAACTATATAAAGGGATAACGTTACCTTTAATAATCAAGACTTTGTAGTTATGTCAAAGTTGAAATAAATTGTTTTCAAGATTTAAGAAACGATTCAAGATTAAAAAAAGATCTTCTTTGTTTTTATTTCAAAACATATGTAAAAGATTTATTCAAATTTTTTTTTTAATTTACTAACATTTATATTTGAGATTTATTGTAGTGTTTAATCAATATTTTGTATGAAGTGGAATAACCTCAACGGTTACTCTTAGAAAACAATTTGGGAATAGAGATGAAGTAGGTTCGTACAGGTATTTAAACGAACCAAAAATATTTATGTCGTGATTAGTTTCGATAACTGGGTAATGGAACCCTAACTAGCCGCAAAATAGTTGGTAATTAGACGTTGACTAGGCCCTTTTTTGGTAGAATATGTAAATCAATCGCACCTTTAGGAGGATTAACACCACATACTTACACTAGGCTAATAGTGGTTTTTTAATGTTGATCACAAACAAATTTAGGTCCAAGTTCTGTCAATGGGATGCCTTTACTTAAGAATAATTTTGTTAAACCTTTACAAAATGAGCATAGACTTAGAAATAATAACTGGGTAGGGTATCTCAACACACCATTTTTTGCCTTTTCTTATTTGACGAAGACAATTTCCAATACTGTATTTCAATCGGGGAAGCCTTGTTATCAGCATTAACCAAAAAACCAAAGCTACCTTAATAAACCAATATTTATTCATAAACATGTTTGCTGCCTTTAACAGTTAAACTCAGGAATCATTCAAATTCTTTATTGAACATATGTTATCAACAAAAGCAAACAAAGACAAACAACAAACTGTTTTGTTTTTTTTTTGCACAAAAGATATGTTGTAGTGGGATATCTAGGCCTATCCTGACATATAGATAATTTGATTCTGAGTTTGTTTAAATATTCCAACAATAATTCCTTTTCCGTAGCTTTTAGGGACTATGTCCCTACAAGCCACTAGTTTACATTAAAATACGCAATAAGTATGACTCCGTTTTTTCTGTATGCATATAATTAATTCATGGTAATGTAAAAGTATGCGTAACGAATTTTTCACCTCACTATGATGTTTTTAGCTGTTTTACATACATTTAGCTGGTTTATATTGGTGGCTGAAAGTTACGTTTTGCTGACCATGCCAGCTGTCATCGTCATATGGGGACCGAGCAGGGGTTTACATCCCTACGGCCGCAAAATCACTTGTTCGCCTATTTACTTAAACCATTAATGTATATTAAATGCACAAGCTGTATCCATGGCATTGCAATAGACTTGTTTTTTGTCACAGCTGCCTAGACAACTATTTATTGTTATTTTTGATTTTGCTGATTCCTCAAAATATTTCACATAAATAAGAGGGACGTTATATTGCAAAACATACTTGGGTAAAAAAAACCGCTCGTACCACGAGCCAAAATGGGTTTGCAGCTCTCGATCGTTTCACGTTCTCGACTTCGTCCCGAACTTAAAACCCGATATCGAGTCGGCAAAACCTCACTTTAGGCCCTAGGTACGAAATATACTATTTTTTTACGGTGGAATTAGAGACCCAAAGATTCTCACCCCGTTGCGAAGCATGGGCAGATAGTTAGTTATAAGATTATAAAGTCTTTA